TTTTTTTTTTTTTTTTTGGGGGGGGGGGGGCGTGAAGTATGGTCAAACTCAGGACCATGCCGGAACCTTGTCTGCAAGAGGTGGAGGGTGTCATGTGTTGTTTATCTTTAGACTTTAGGCTGGGCTGCTGAAAGACTGTTTGACGTCCAGGATTTCAAATTCTCTGTCTGGTACTGGGGCGATTGCACGGCATGCTTTGCAGCATAGATTGTTGTTCAGCTGACGGGGGCCGGCCCGATTCGATGAAACCTTTTTCGTTCTATTAACTCTTGTCATGTCTGACGGTTGTCTTTGGATCTTGTGCCAAGCGATTGCCGACTTGAAATAAATATTGAGCCTTTTCTTGACGCTCGCTGAAGGCTCGAACCCTAGATTCTAAAATCCCCAAGCCCCCTATGGGAACTCGGTCCACTTGGTCCTGAATGCTGTCGCGGTGTTTCTTCACATTCACGGACTTGCGAACCATGGACATCGTCTGGGCATTGTCCGATTTGGGAGTTTCCGGGACACAGGGGACCTTAGAACCGACTTCCTGCATCGATCGCTTTCAACATGGTTTGCACACCGAGCAGGGTTTTCATTAGCTTGCAAAGCCGTTGCCACAAGGTCGGAGGCAAGCCTTGACCCAGGTAAGCAATATTTTGTATTCAAAGCAACCTTATAAGCCTGAAGCATCCATATACCCTAAATCCTAAACCTTAAACCCAAACCCTATGAGCCCTACGAACCTTTAACCTCGTATTGTACTCCGAACTCAGGGGTCCCCCCAAGCGATGCTCTTCAATGGAGACATGCGCGACCTGGGTTTGTCCACGCCGGTCGACGCCATTCTTACGTCTCCGCACCGCGCCATGAAGTCCTGTTTTTGGCAGTTGCACAGGAATTGCAGACAGGATGAACGCAGGATGTTAGGGGTGCTAGAAGGTCATGTTTTCACTGATGGTATCAGATGCACCGGAATTCTGCGGGGTCTTTGCAGCGTTCCTCTTCATGAGCCCGAAACTTAGCCTGAGCTCTGGTTCAGCCCATCATCCTCGCCGAAAAGTGGAAGTTGGACCAAGACAATCATCATGTCCTGAAGACAAAAGAGAATCCTACTCAAGATAATCAGATAGGGGTCTGTCTTTCTCAGGATGACCTTCAAGTATGACGCACACTGGTAAGTATTCCAAACCAGCTTCTCCTTTGTCCCGTGTCCTGCGTTGTGCCGCGCGGGTGAATTCTCGGACAGGTTGGACGGTCTTAGCTCTTGGCAGGTTTGGTGGGGAGCAGCTGCCGAGGACTCAACCCCGAAAGCTGAATGACTGCCGAGACAATGTTGAACCTCAACCCGGGCTTTCCCCTTGTATGCTGATGTATACCGTCCGAAAGTCGTTGAAATCGGTCAGCTTTCCCCACTCCAGCCCGGACTGTTTCTAGGGATTCTAGGGTACAGCCCCTGCACTGCCGAACCAACCAAGGCCATACCCTGGAGCGACCCAGCAGAATTTCGATGACTCTCCGTTGTTTTTTGTGGTTGGGGATGGGGGTCCCCGGATTCTGAGTCTATAGGAGCAGTTCTCTAAATCAGGGTCCCTTTTAGGTCCCCGAACTAGTACGGCACCCTTATAAAAAGGACCCCAAATTAAAAAAAACTACCCACAGGGATCCAGACACTGTCTTTAGCTTCCGGTACAAACCCCTGAGCTTCGGGACCACTATTCCAAGAACTCGATGTCCCAAGCTCCCAACACGCAACTTCACTCCACTCTCCACGTTGTCTTGTCCAGAAGCCAGTCTTTACAAAAAGCTTCGCCTTGTGCCAAAGCCTCTTTCGATCCCTGATCTGCTCGAAGCTGCGGAGGTACCTGCAGCTCAGTTTTGGGCGTTGAAGTATTCAATCCTACCATACTTCAAGGGTCCCTTTGTTGTTTTGTGGGAGGGGGGGGGGAGTTCAGCATCCCACCGCAATCAAGGGCTGGCCCCCTGTTTTTTCTCGGCCTTTAAGCCGAGATCCTAAGTTCCTCGGAGCTGAAGTCGGGGCTCCTGAGCTTTGCCTGCGCTCTGAATGCAGAGCTCGCGTAGAACGATCCTCTAGGTGGTTGGTTCAAGTGTGGTTCCAGCGTTTGGGAGTTTAGGCTTCTGGGGAGGTTGAGCTTCTTTCCAGCTTGTATCTTTGACGTGCGGCAGGGGTCTTTGTAACCGCGTAGAATACTCACTACCGTAAAAGCTCGAATTCAAGAGCGGCCTCACAAGGCTAGCCATCTCTAAGCGAATGTCAATGTTAACCTTGAAGCACGTGTCGGACCGCAGCCTAATGCCCTCGACTGTCAGGGAATGCTCTCGCTTGTACATCAGGGCACTCTGAAAGTCGCGTTAAGGGAGAAGACTGCGCAGGTGTACAACTACTTGCCGCAGAATCAGGACAGCACGCCGAACCCTATCGAGGCCGAACAACATGTACTCACGTGGCTTGTTACTTGAAGGTTGTTGCAGCCGGCGTCGCCTCAGCGATTCTCCCAACGTGCAGACACCCACAAGAAGACTTTAACCTAGAACGCCTGCGGATTCGGCTTAGTCGCGTAGTTCTTCACATGTCCCGGGCTTTGGCTGCCCGGCTCGACTGTTGCTCTCTGCATTTGGTTTGCTTTGAAGATCGCCCGATGTTCCGAAGGCGTCGAGATACTTTGCCTCCCGAATCATGTATGCGCGAACTCGGTCTCCAAGTTTGAAGAAATCTCCCGACAGACTGACTAGCCCTTGGGTTACTTAGGGACTGTGTCAGGGGACGCGTGGGCCCGACGACACCACCGTAAAGGCTTGGGGTTCCGGGTTTAGTGAAGGAAGTCCGAACTGCACACCCCGGGCGCCAGCACTCCATGCTGTCCTCAAAGCTGCCTTCAAAATTGCAACCTCAAAGCATAAACTGCCAGCATCCTTATCATGTGTAATTATGTCATTATGTGTGCATGTATTATGTATAACTCATAGTCTATACAAATCAAAGAGCCTTTCTGTATCAGTTCCATCGGCTTTTGCTCCTGTAGGCCGCTGCCTTGCGTGGCGTGTCGCTGAGTGCAGCTGCGCGCGGATACGATGCCTCCTTTCGGACATCGTCGCCGGAGCTCGTTGTGTCTTATTTCGGAAGCATTTGAGCTTCGGGGTGTGGAGCTTAGTGTCTCGTACAGGGTAAAGGCGGTAAAGGTATGTAAAGGTTGTTGGCTGTAGGTAATTTAGGTGCCCATTGAGGTTTCTAAATCATGGTACGCAGCTTCAGATCCTAAGTTCTCAAGCAAAGGCAAAGAAAACAGGCATCTGGCATTCGAGCACACGAAGTTTCCGCTCTGTTAGCACGCGCGCTCTTTGCAAGGGTTTTAGTTCATTCAGGTTTTCCGGCTGGGGTTTGGGGTCAAAGTGCAGGGTTGGGGTTTGGGATTGGGACGCCGGGCTCAGAGTTTCTAACTTTCGTGTCGAAGGTTTCGGGCTTACACTTGCTATATAGGGCTTCGGCACCGAGTAACTACTCGTCTGTGGGGCATTTTATAGCAGATCATATCGTTTCTGGCTGGTTTGAGTTTGAGCATTCCCACACCTTCGAACCGCTCCGTCGGATATCAAGGCTCCTAAACCTTACAGGCCCTGCATAAACTCCAAACCCCGAAGCCCTAAGCCCTGGCCACAACCCCGAGGGCTCCGAACCCCACACTCCACACCCTCAGAGGCCGAGTCTCGGAACTAGGGTTTAGGGCAGTTTAGGGCTTAGGGGTTTAGGGTTTAGTTAGGCTTTAGGGTTTAGGGGCCCTCGAGCCTCCCCAGCAGCCCTGGAGCCCTGCAGTTCAGGGCTCCTTCTTATGATTTCTTTATAGAAGTCCTTAAAGCCGACCCTGTTAGGGCTCCTTTTTTATGATGTCTTTTGGTATATAAGTTCCTCAAACCTTCTACTGTTTCGGGGCTCCTTATTATGATTTCCTGATCTACGTCCTTAAAACGGTAGGTCACTTTGGGGTTAAGGTAAACCCTGAAGGAGATCGGTGCAAGGCGCACCTGGTCGAGCAACACCATGGCATCCTTCGAAGCGGCATGGCAGCTGCAACAGGAGATGGGATCCTGATGTACCGCTTTATGGTTTAGGACTTAGTCTGGGTTCAAAAGGGTTTAGGGTTTAGCATCTGGGGTCATGTAAAGTTTTCTGGATTTAAAACGATTAGCTTTGAAGGATATAGATTGTTAGAATTTTCAGGTTTATTATTATTTTTATTTTATTTTTATTTTATTTTTTTTTTTTGGGGGGGGGTGTCGGGATTTTGAATTTGGGTTGGTGGACTTAGGGGTGTACGGTGTAGGGATTCAGGGTTTCGGGATTGAGACATGTAGGGATGTAGGGTCTAGGTAGCTTGACTAAGTTAAGGCAGCCTAGAAGCCGTCGCATCCTCGCAGGAGGAATGGCTGAGGTCTGCTCGGGCTTGCCTGAAGACAGGCAGTCCAACATTCTCCAGCGCACCGTCAGGGAGTGGGTTCGTCACTGGGCTTGACGTGTGACTTGGTGCTTTCAGCACCGTGGCCACTGCAGTTTAATTGTTGTATGCAGATCCAGATATTACTCAATAGCGGGGTGGGCTGTAGGAAAAGGCCGCTTCAATACTGCCGATGATATAACTCCTGCACTACCTTAAGGACCTTCAACTACGGGAAGCATGGTATAGTCCGTAGTATGGGTAATGCAGGATTCAAAAATCATCAGCCGTAGTTCGAGGTTCTTTGTCCTTCCAGCAAAACCAATCCATGTCCCGCTACGGGCCAGGGCCCGGCCCTCCACCAAGCAAAGCTGAAGCCAAAAAACCCAAAGAGACCCGAAATCCCAAAGCCCCTAGAGCTTTCAGAGCGGATTTTGGCGAGTCGGAGGGCCTGAGACCCTAACCTCCAAAAGCCCAACAGCCTTAAGCCCTTATGACAACCCTTGAAGGACCCTTAAACGCTTGAAATTCTACGTCCCACGCCAGGCGGCACGGCGACCTTAATGATTGGCGATGGCGACTCCTCCGTGGAAAATGGCCGGCCAGCTAAACCAGATCAGCCACCACTTCGGGTTTAGAGTTTAGGATTGGGCTTTGGCAACGGTGAGATAGCAAGGACGCAAAGGCTTGCTTTATAAATCGAGGCTGTTGGGGATCCGTGTCTGAAAAACCACTCCTCTTCACCGAGACATCGAGAAGAAGCCTCCAACTGCGAACGGTCGCCGCGGACAGTCGATATCATGCTTTGTGTATAGGTTTTTAGAGCTATTAGGCCCCAAGAACTGCCCAGGTCTCAGCCTTCGGGTTTTGAATCTTGATTTGTGACTTCTCTATACACTTAAGCTGTGTCTTTTTTCAGCTGTAGGCCACGACACCCGAGAAGCCTCCACAGTGCCTCCTGAAACTAGTAGCCTCGCAAGTACATGAACATGGAAGTTCGCTGCCAAGGCTTCGATAATTTGGCTTCTACCTTGGCTGCTGCGGAGGTGGATGCCTTTTGAGCAAGTCTATCGGTGGTTGAAGATCTGATTTCCAGCACATCAGTACCATCTCATTCATGCACGGCAGGAGTCTGTTATGCCATAGTGGAAAGGCTTCCCTGGGTCGGAAAGTACTTGTCAAGGAATAAAAGTCTACATCTTGAGTGCTGATGGCATGCCACGATTACCCGTGTAGGAACCAGAGCCGGAACCCTCAGCAGAGGAGAGCCGGCCGTCGGTGGCCGTATTGCTTACATTTCCTCTTTTCCAGCCATCGCGCAAAGTCTTGTGCGACACATACATCTCCCCGCAAGAAGAAGGCAGAAAGCCCAGAAAGCCTCTTGAGGCCCCAGGCATCCTCAGGCTTCGCCTTGGTCTTAATGGGGAGACTGAATATGTAGCCTAAACAGTACTGTAGGATCCTTGAGGTCAGGACCCCTCTAATATGAGTTCCGCGAGGTGAGAAGACCATATCAACCCTAGAGAGCATGCACAACCTCACAAGAAGACTAGAATCACCCAAATTCCCGAAAAAAGGGGGTACACCAGTCCAAAGTCCTGCTCAGGCTGTTGGGTTCGAGACTGTAGGGTTGGCAACGATCGAAGCGGTGGCTGACGAAGCCCATAGGACCCAGAAGACCTTTCTTTCTCTCTCTCTCTCTCTCTCTTGTTAGGGTCCAGTTCTTGATGGAGTTTCGTATTTGGGTGTGATGAGTTGAGTTACGAAGTTTACAGGTGCAATAAGAACGTAAAGGGAACCATTCAGCACCACAGGTCCCTAGGCCAAGATCCCAATGTATCCTACTATCGGTTGTAGGCATAGGTCCTGTTAAACATCTACGTGATACCCCAGGAGCCAGATTGAAATTTTGTGTAAGCTCTAAACCTCCGAAGGTTTCGAGATTACGATCGGGGTTGCGGGGGAGTTGCTTCATGTTCAGTGCAGGTGTTGCCGTGCAGGAAGGTACGATGCTCCAAAGCCCAAAGCCTCACGACCAAATGCTCCACGGGAGAGGATTCAGGGCCATGAGGCTCGGAATTAGCTTTGGAGGTCAGGCGGCGAGAGAATCTACAAAAACTTAAAAGGCTTCCAACGATGCGTTGTCGTAAGTTTCTTTCGAATCGAGGGAGGCCCAGTATGGAAGAGAACTGGCTCTAAAGAGTAGGGTGTTTTTGGGGCACGGGACAAGATCTGTGTGCGAAGACATATTACGAGAGAACAAGAGTGACTAGTGGAGGTTGATGGCTTGTAAATGCTTGTAAGCTTTTGTTTACGCAAGGGTTGCTCAAGTTGCTGCGGTTCTATAACTTTGTTTTTTGCTTGGAGAGGGGGGGCGGTGTTCGTCAGGACCCCGAACGGTAGCTCGTGCTTGGATGCACGGCTACATTATCTGCTAGCTAGCTGCAGACCTCGAACCGGAAAATAAAAAAAGTCATCCTGAAAAGGTGCCGGCATACCAGGGCCTAGCCAGGAGCTGGGCTGTGTTGTTGTTCAGAAAGGTGCTTGGCATAGGCCGGGGGCTCATATTCAAACTTACGGGAGTGACCCGAGATGACGAGCTTCCGTTCCTCCAACTATATTGATCAAATAGGCTTTTGAGGCAAGCACGGAAACCATACAGGCACCGACAGGTATCTTTGGCTTTTAAGGCTAATAGCCTTAAGCCCACCACACGAAGATATCTAGGTGTGCCTTTGATGATCCTATCGTCGTGGTGTAAAAGTCGTCAGAGTGCCAGTAACAAACCATGTTTGGGCTCCTATGAAGGATTCGGGATTGAAGTTCTGCAGACCTTGTCTGGCGTTTCTTGGTTCGAGGACGAGGGGCATGCAGCGGACGGAGCACATGGTGCACCTGGTGGCGGTGAATGCAAAAAAGCCCGTGCGAGGGACATGCAGCGCACACGGCTTCCGATTGCATGCACCCTCAAGTTCCACACCGCAACAAAGGAAGTATGACTACTCCGAGGCATCCGCCCCGATGCTCCCACCTCTGTCGTATCCCAAACGCTAGTGAGTGTTGTCCACGAGACAACAGGGCGCGGCTCGTCACTGCAAAGGGTAGATGAAATCCCGCAGCTTACACTTGAAAACAATCGTTAGGCTCACCAATGTCATCAAACAGTAAATCTTATATATACACACACACCCCCGCGCGCGCGCGAGCCCCATAAGCCAATCCTCCAAAAGAGGTCCAACTCTACACCCCGAAATGATGGCAACATCCCGAACCCTTCAACCCCAAAGCCAAACAAAGCCCCATGTAAACCCATCCCAAACCTTAAGACCTACGATGTCTCGAGGTACACATGTTTGACCTACATCCGCTCGCGACAAGTCACGGAAGAGCCGGCGCCCGATCAACTCTTCTGCTTTCTAAAGCTTTTTGGTTTAGGGGTTACGTTGTTGTTATGGGAGGCACTTCAGAGAGGATTTGGCAATTTAGGGTTTGTCTTTTCCTTGGGTGGTCCACGAACTTTTTGGCTCTCCTGTGTACTAATGACCTACAGTGCTACTCTCCTAAGGTCCTAAACCCAAGTACCTGATTGCTGGTGGTATGTCAGAGTCCGGATTTCGGTTTAAATCTGGAGAGACGCCCGGAGGCCTCACGCACTGGGGCCCTGCTCATACACAATTTGTTTTTGAAAGACGATGTTTATTAGAAATTAATCATATTCCGTTTACTTTAATAGACTTTGCACGATTTCCCAAAAGGAGGTGCGGTTGCCCATTGGCGTGTAAAATTTACTCAAAACGTCGCAAAACCCTGGGCATGGAAAGAACAGAGCCCCACAGCGTTCCTTGCTGAGGGCTGCATGGGTTTATGTCGTTTTGTTGTTCACGACTCATGCTTTGGGCTTCTGGAATTAAAGAGATTTGAGATGATTTGGGTGCTAGTGTTGGGGCTTTTGGTGCCTAGGTGCTGCGATGAGGGGCACTGTGTGAATCTAGAGACCAATCCCCGCAAGGTTTCGCCAGCAAAACTTCGCAAAAGACTGAAGGCTTATCCCGTCGAGCAACCAATCGTAAAGCCTCAGAAAGAGCTGGGCTTTTTGCAATGCCTAAGCCCCTATTTTACCGAATGTCCTGAAGATATTGTCTCATGCAAAAAGTAAACAAGCCAAGGACAGATGCATCCTGAACTGAAGGAGCCAAGCTCGGCCCTCGTAGAAAGAGCATGAAGTCTTAAGTAGCCTGAACCCAGCCAACTGTGAGCTGGGTACAAGTAACATAGGGGCCTAAATAATTACCAATACTACTGTGAGGATTCCTTCTTATAGTTATCGTATCATACAGCCCAAAACCCTAGTCTAATTATTAAGGCCGCAAGATTAGCCATCTTGTGGTCCACCGAGGTCAGAAGTGTACTCTTTCGGCATCGTCCTGTCGGAGCCCAAGACTTTTTGCAGTTTGGGATCAGGGCCTTTATGCTGAGCCTAAACTGTAACCACGAAATCCGATACCTTAAACTCGATATCCTAAGCTCTCAACCGTAACTCGTACTTTCCCGCAGTTAAGGACCGAGGTTCCGAGTTCGCCGATCCAAGACCCGGCATTAAGAACCGCCAAACCTTGCCTGGCATGTCCGAGTGTGAGCGCCGCAACCTAAACCTCAAGCGATTGAGGTTGGAGCTCTTGATCAATCGCCCGCCAGCCTTGGCATCGGCTCATGGTGAAATGGTGCCCCTGGCCCGGTTACTGTAATGGATCGAAGTTTGAGGGGCTTCACGGTGTGAGGAAGGTACAGGCCCAAGCCTAAACCCACGAGGCTTTTGGATCATTGTACAAATGGTGCTGCGTCGCGTGCCTGGGGGTGGGGGAGGGGAGTGTGGGCTTGCCAGCGCTGCATCATGAATCACATACCCAACAAAACCCGATTCTATCTATTATATATATATATATATATAAACCCTAAACTCTGTAAGACCAAACTTGATTGAAGCTTACGTCGAAGCTCCTGCCATTGTGGTTGGAGTGGACAGGTCTTTCCAATCCTCGAAGCAGTTCAGCCCTACGTGGGTGGCGCTCACGGGCGGCTGATGCAGTGTCCTGTGCTTACAGTCAGGGCTTATCGTTCTGCTAGCTATATGCCGGGAGTAATACTTTTTTGTTTAGGTAAAAGCTGGTGAGATCTGAATTGAAGGGCGGCTGCTGCAACAACCAAGAACTGCACAATGACACGATGTAGCCAAGATAAGAATGAAGAACAACAGTGACACATTGATTTGTAAATTCACAGATAATAGTAGGATATGTTTGCAACGGCAACCACCAGCAGAGAGAGAGAAAGGCATGATCATTATCCTATGTGGGGCTTGGTTTTAAGGGGGGACTGACAACTTAGGTTTCGGTTTTCGTGTTTAGGGCTCGCGACGAGGTGGGGGTCGGCTCCAAGTCGGAGTTGAGCGCCAGAGAACATGGAGCTCAATGTCTTAAGGTTTAGGTTGTAGGGCTTTTGGTTATTATAATGGATAATAATCTCGGAGGAAAAATCAGCTCTGTAAGGACTGCAAGGGGGGACGCGATGGCGATGGCCAATTGTTCAGGCCGTTATTGCATTGATTGCAATGCAGGAATGCCAAGCATGTCCGGGGGCAGAGATGAGCACCGGGAAGGGCACAAGAGGTTTGCATGGTTTGGGCAAGCTTAGACTGCGCCAGAGTGTCGGGGGTGTTTGGAGTGCACCGAGGATTTCGATACCGGATTGTCGACAAGAACGATACATATCCCTGCAACCCCGAAACCCTGAGCTTTTGAGCCTAGACCCTAAAAGTTCCAAGGTCTCGACCCGTCGGCAGGGAGCCCAAAACACCGCGAGCGCACGTTGTGCTCCGTGCTTTAGGTTCAACGTTCGAGAACAGTGCGCGTAGATTCCAAAGGATGGCTACGTGTGCAGAAGTCGCCTGAGCAAAGCCTTAAGAACAAAAAACCTCCTGAACCCTAAACCCTAAACCTGACACATTACTGTATTAGCCAAGTACCCCAGAGCCCAGTTCCCCCAAACCTCCGCCCTGCATAACCTAAATCCGGATCGGCCCGCTGGCATAGCGACCTCGGCACGTTCTCGAGGTTTAGGGTTTAGGGTTTTGCAGATGCCGGGTTTAGGGTTTAGGGTCCAGGTGCAAAAGATTCAGGGTGTAGGGCTTAGGGGTTCTTATCGGAGTTTAGTGTTGATTATTTGAACCTCGGACTGTCGCAGCTTGAGCTTCTGAGGGTGGTCGGTCGAAGGCTACATGTTCAGGGTGCTGGGAATGTCAGAAGTGTTCACCTCCAACCGTATCATCACACATAAGGCCCAGGCGGTCATATCGGCAGAAGAACAAGAAAACTAATCTCCCCCCATGAGCCTGCAGCTGGAAACTCCAGCAGCATGTTGCCTTAGGGTTCAGGGTTTAAGGTTCAAAATATAGAAGTTCCTCAGGGTTCTTGTGCGGGTGGCCCGCAATACGCCGCACGGTGCTTGCGTTCTGACGCTAAGGCGGGATGGCCGCGACAGCTGGCCGAGGAGTTGGGAGACCTCGCATCTCGGCATCGAGAGACACCCAGAAGCTGATCCATGTTTTGCAGGGGCTTAGGGTCTTTCGTGAACATTGGGTTGAAGTCTATCATCTGTAGGGTCTCGATTCAGGGACAGCGACAAGTAGGATCAGGGAGTTCATTTGTCAGATGTGGCATTCAAAGCTTGGCGCTGTTCTAGATGCTGCAGGGCCTCAGTCTGTGAACTTGAGGCTTGGCAGAGAGACCTGGTTGAACAGCAGGGTTTATGCTGTTGTAGATGAGCCTGCCGACTCGAAACGTCAAGCCGTTGGCCAAACACTCCCAGACCACACGGCCACACACCTGGAAGACATGGACCAGTACAAGCCCAGCCAGAAGACCCTGGTCCGGAACCGCCCTAGCCCTAACACTGCCTAACACAGAGACCCCCGCCCTTAATCTAAAGCCTGAGAGCCTAGAACCACGGCAGCTTTTGCAATAACTCCCATAAGCCCTAAACACCCCCCCTGAACCCTAGTATCCCCGTAGCCCCCATTAAGGGTTCAGCCTCAGGCCTCCAAGCCTAGAGGTTTAGAAGTCCCTTAGTCAAGAATCTTCCTCATATCATATTGCGATTCCCTGTATGAATGATGTGAGCTGTATAAACTCGTAAGAATGGGGTGCCTGGGTCTATCCCACTGAACCAGGCCCTCGCTTGCCGAGACCTCAGAATGTCTGTGGAAACGAAGGCTCAGGCTGAGGCTAAGGGTTCGAGCTTAGGTGTAGAATGTTTGGTTTAGGGTTTATGGGGCTTGGCCGGTTTCGGTTCATGGGTTAATTTTGGTTACAGGGCTCAGGGCTTAAAGGGCTGTAGGGCTTCAAGCCTGAGCGGCCGTTGTGCTTCCGTGTTCGAGTGTTCGTTGGGTGGTTGTGTCGTGATGTAGTGGGTATTTGCGTGCTTAGGTTTGTACGGAGCTGTTGATATGTAGTTGTGCTTGACTTGTAAGCTTTTGGGGTGTGCTAAGAGCGAGTGTTTCGGGCTTTGAGGTTTGGAGGTCCTAGTGTTCGGGTATCAGATTCTAGCTATTTGGTCTTAAGCTTCAGGGCTTTTCTTGTTTGGTGCTTTTGGGTTTCTCATAGAAGACAGTACCGGGAACAGGCTGTCTTCTTTGACTTCGCAGTACTTGCAAGGGACACTTTGTGACTTAATGCCTGCGGCTGTGGAGTTAGGCTTAAGGCCTCAGCGCCTCGGGTCTGAAGCCTTATGCCAATGCACAACTGTTAAAATGAGCTAGGGTTCAACCAATGCAAGGACAACGTGGTAGTAAGGCCCTTGTATGATAAACCCTTTGGGAGCCGCTAAAGCCCTCTAGAACCGCTCTTCTAGCCATG